TCCAGGATGAGGACAGGCGCAACATAGGTTTGAGTTTAAGAAGAACCCAAACAACCTGTTCCTCATATAGGTTGGTTCAGAGCATCTCCAACGTGGTGGGCTAAGACTGACAAAATACAACCTTACTTCTAAATTAGGGTCAGGTCAGGATTGATCGACAAGGAAATAACTTCCAACAGAACCTGGAACTCAGGCCTATTCAAACTTGTTGAGCTCGACCAGTTCTTTGTGTTGTTTATCTTTATTTGTGACTTTGTTCTATGTATAGAACGTTTAAGTTTTTCTTCATCACTATAATCGACGATATAATCATGAATCGTTGACTTAAGGGCTTTATACTCAGCATTTACATATGCCAAATTAGTTATACAACATTCTTGTTATAAGTTATTTCTTGTATGAGTGATGCAGTGATGTCTCGTTTTAAGTTATATGATGTAGCCTCACCCACTATGTAACCTGGGTACTTTTATCATGATAGAGGCCGTACCCCACATGTCCTGCACCCGTACTCAAGAAACCATACTCTACATTTCTTGGACACTTCTTAGATATATGCTTGCATTCATTTAGACATATATGTAATTATACTATACATGTTCTAATATAAAACACTCATTATACACTACTCGCACTTCTTGGACATGTATCCTACATTTCACATCCACCTTTGAAACTCATTGGACAATGGTCGAGTTCGTTTCAAGCCATATTTAGTAAACAATGTTCTAAAAAGCCAATGCCTAGCTTGCCTGCCTAGGTCCAATGAGTCCTCAAAAGCGCCTAGGGGAGCATGGACCGCTTACACAGACTGCACCGCTTAGATCTAGGTTGTGATTTCCTAAGTTGTAGCCTCCACATCCTCTAACCTCATCCGTACTCCTCTAGCCTTCTCCACCGATTACAAACACCTCCTCCAACTACTCCGACCTTCAGCAAAACCTCCTCCACCAAAACTTAAAACAAAAAATCCTAGCCCATGCCTATGCACTGTTTGGCACCTAGCGGTGCCTAGCGCTATTGATTGTAATAAAAAAATAAAAAAATAAAATACTTAGGCTCTGCCTAGGCTCTAGGTGCTGGGTCTAATGCCTAAGCTGCCTAGCGCTTTCTGTAATCAGTTGAAAACTATGATTACAAAGGGTTGTTTGTGTATCTAGCTCAAAACTAAAATTATAGCTTATACATTTCAGCCATGTCCCTCTACCCTACCTTTTACAAATTTGTCGTGTCTCATACTCGTACCCGCACATGTACATGTATCCATGCAACTTAGCTCACCCAATTCAAATAAATCCTTTTTGCTCTACTTGAGAACGGAAGCTATTTAATAATTGAAGGCAGAGGTTAAAACATGCACATACCCACATCTCATCCCACCCACATGCGCACAAGCTCCCAGCACAAACACACACACACACAATACGTGTGCGCGGACATATTTATCTACCCCCACCCCCACCCACACACACACACGCACACACATATACACATATATACACATACACAAACATATGCATACATTCATATATCATTAAATACAAACGTAGCAAATTCAGAAAAAAAAATTCTTAGGGGGCGAACAACAAGTGTCTATTTATCTAAAAGCATGGTTTTAAATATCGGCCGATAATCCGATATTATCACCGAGTTATCGGATTTGGGAGCTTTCCGCTAAGATAAGTAGGATTTTTAATCAGTTATCGTTTTTTGAGATTTATCGGCGGCACTTATCGGCCGATAAGTAGACTCTAAATATCGGCTTTATCGACCGATAAGTAGGTTTTGGGAGCTTTTACTTTCTTTTGGATTTGTTCTTTGAATGTTTACAAATTATGAACTATTTGTTGCTTTTGGAACTTGGTTGATTGGTGATTAGCTTATGTTTTTTTATGGATATTGATAATGGCTCATAACTACTAAATATCAACTTAGTTAGTTTATGAATCTTATGATTAAACAATAATTATGCAGATGCGTAGATGGCTCTTCATTCTTGATGTTATCTTATTATTTGCTTGTTTATTATTCCATTTTGACTAACATTATATTTTTTTTTATTTGCTTGTTTATTATTCCATTTTGACTAACATTATATTTTTTCAAGCTTATGTTTGTTTATTATTTGCTAGTATATTACTCCGATAAATACTACATGTTTGTTTATTATTTGCTAGTATATTACTCCGATAAATACTACTTATCCCCGATATATCCCCAATTTCCACTATCCAATAAGGATTTTGACCATCCGATAAATCTTCGATAACCGACATTTAAAACCTTGTCTAAAAGTATAATTACAATATTGTCAAACTATGGTACCTAATGACTGATCGAATACACTTTATAAGTTTCATCGCATCATATTTTGCCTACAATGTAAGAGATAAATAAAATTCAGTATTTTTATTAATGACTTACTTCCACTAATAAGCTCTTCAAATATCATCTTGATCACTAGTATGATACTCTAAAATACTTGATCGAAGGCCCGGATATACCTTCAGATTTTTCAAGTTTTTACTTTGCTGCTTCGCTTTGTATTAGATTGTACAGTCTAAAGATTATTTAAATTTGGAGTAATTGATGGTTGGTCCGTTATTGACTTTCCCATCACTGAACAAAGTTAAGGTAATCAATATCAAACCATTATTCTAGTTAATAAGTACTTGATTTTTTACTTATTACCAATTCTCACAAAATTTTCTTTCTATAACGGCTAATTCTTATATGCACAAAATTTCAAAGTAAATAGAGAGCTAGAGAGAGAAAGAGAGAATTTGGTATTGGGTTTTGAGTTTTTAGCATTATATTTGGGTTATTGGATTTTGGACTATTTGGTTTTAGATATTTGGATTTCAAGTATGGTTGGTTTTGCGTCTTTATTGTTTGGGCCCATTTGAATTAACTATTGAAAATTTTAATGGGCTTTCAATACTCAGTGGGTCAGTGCAAATTGCTATTTGTTTGTTTAGTGGTTTTAGAGATAGTTGGGGTGCGAACTTCAAAATTCTTAGCGGGTAGATTGTAAAAGTTATATGGCTTTAAATGTAAATTGAAAATGTTCAGGGGTGCAACTGCACCCCTACACGGGTCTGTGGATCCGCCCCATAGAGAGAGAGAGAGAGAGAGAGAGATAATTTGACAAGCCACCGTAGTATAGCTCTTCATAGTTTCCCAGAAACAATCTAAAAGTGGATCACCCTAGATTTCATTTTTATTCACTTATATTCTCTAGTATGTTGATCACCCATAGTAGTGAACCACAACTTTGTTCAGTAGGTCGGCATGTGTTTCAACTAATTCTTTGAAATCTATAAGTTCCAACATATGGATGCACTTAGATGCACATAGACACATATGCACACAAATATAGAAAGGCTTTTCTCTTTTCAGGAAAAATTGAGATGCAATTTGTTCAACAACCTGAAGCACTTGAACATCTTGAAACCGGAAGGAAAAACAAATCAACATTTTTTATGCATACACCGAAGTAACACTTTATTTTTTAACATTAAGCTAGTGGTCAATTGATGATGAAGCAGATAGCTACAAGTAAATCTTGCTTACAGAAAAGTCAAGAAGTCTAAATTAGAGGTAAACAGAAACAAGTGCTATGTAAACATGATGATACCTATCTTATACTATTATAAAAGTGTTATATATCACTTGGCTTTATGGCACCATAAATTCCACCTGAAGATGATTAAATCACAATGAGTGTTATCCTTAAACCATACACCCACAAATGACAAACCTATTTACTTAATTACTTAATCCTAAATTAACACACCCTTTCTCCTTCCTAAATGTAAAATCTCTTTCATCATTCTCTTATAAATCTCAACTATCTTCATCTAACAATCAGTGCACATATCTATGAGAAGCATTGCCACATGTGGCTCACGGCACTTTTGACACCGAACACGATGTCACCCGCGCAACATCGCCGCCTTCCGCTTCCACGGCCGCAATGCCATCACCAACTTTGTCTCCCACTTCAAGTCAGAGATCCTAGACATGATCCTCAAGCACGCATACCACAATGAGCTCAAGCATAAGCCGCTACCGCTTATATGCTAGAAATGTAGCTTAATCTTTGTATTTATTTTGGAATATAGAATTGATCTTTGTCTTCTTTTTTCTACAAGTCGTTTTAAGTCTCGATCGCTAAGATTTGTCATGCAAATCCATATTTCATATATTTTATTGAATTGTAGAAAAGGTTCTTCAACTTTAGCAGAAACATTTAAGTTTACGAAGAAAAGCTCTATTTATTCTTATATTACTTGCAACCACTACTATCTATTGTGATTCAACTCATGAAAACTCATTGCGCAGCTTTGCCAAAGTAAAAGCCAATGAATAACTAAATCCAGAACCCGATAAAAGAAGTGCTTTTGAAATCTGAACATACATCTATTTGCTTCTCTTGATCCATTGTTCCTACTTTAAGTTTGCAATTTAAAATTGTGGTCTCATTGTGGGGTTGCAACATACAAAGAAGGGTAAAAGAGAAATCCAGCACAAATTTCAATTTTAGCACAAAAGAAAAAAAAAAGCTCGAGCATCAGCTTCACTAGCAGGCTATTTTTTTTCACATGTTAAGATAAGGAATAACTATTGGATTATTAGCATATGAAGTCAAGAGCCATTGATACATTAAAATCCATATTTAAATTTTGAGGAAATTGGTAAAAAAAGCGAAGAATAGAGAATTGCATTCAATAAACATTGTACTTTCTTAAATTTTATTGTATTTTTTCAAATGATCATCATATATAGAATACAATTCCTATTTATCGAATGTATACGCATCAAATTCTCTTAGTGACAAAAACCTCATATGTACTATTTCTCAATAATATATTATGCTGACGATGACTATCCACTCAATAACAACTTTATGTAGTATTATTGGTAATATATATTTAATTTCTAACTTATTATATTAGCAACGAAATGGTGGTAAATATTGATTCAATATAATATGTTAATATATAGTTCTACTCTATCTTAAGATTTCTAAAATATATTCAATAAATTAAATGGGTTAGTTACAGAATATGGGTTAGTAAATATGTGAATTCGACACAATAATTTTTATACTTTACTATATGATGATGATAATTACTAAATATATAAAATTATATGATAATTTTTTTATCTTATTAAATATGATTTGATTACTATAATAAAGGTTATATTAGTTAATTGCACTCGATTGTACTTAGGAAAAATTAATATTTAATAAAATTTGCTTTCAAGACTGAACTTTTATACAGTCAGAGTAAGTAAATTAAACATGAAAACAGATACACATGCAACGCGCGTGCACCATAGTAGTCTAATTAAAAGATTTATGACCATTAGCTGCATCACTGGCCACAAGAATGACAAAAGGAAAACATAAGAAGTCATGCCTAAAAGGAAGAACATAAACGCAAAAGGTAAATTTAGACATAAGTAACTTATCATGTAGAATATTGCTTACTTTCCAAAAATTTCATAAATCATCCTAATAAATGTGTAACCACGGTGACTAAATTTCAATAAAATAATTCTGTGAGCTAGGAAATTTAAACTAAAACTAGATTACCAAGCTGCACGGTACACGCAAGCAAGCATAGAGTTAGTGGAAAAGTGATTAAGCAGTGTGTGTGAGAACAGAAGGAGAGGCAGAGATTGAGGTTGAAGGGAACAGACCGGTGGCCTTATCAATCCAAGGGGAGATAAGGAGGGTAGGAACGCGAACCCCAAGCCTATCAAACTTGAAATAGTAGGGAGCAGAGCCGATTATGCCATCGGGGTTGGGCACCCCTCTCACCGGGGTGGGCACATGGTCATAGAACCCGCCGTGCTCATCGTAGGTAATGAGCAGCGCAGTCTCATTCCACTGAGGGCTGGCCCGCAGCGTCTCATAAATCTCCTTGACAAACCTCTGACCTCGAGCTACGTCGTGGGACGGGTGGTCGTCATTGGCGGGGTCGAGATCCAGGTCAAAGTACTTCTGCTCGATGACAGCGTAGTTGGGCAGTTTCCCGGAGCTGGCGTGGCGCTTGAAGGTGAGCTTGTAGTTGTGGAAGTTAACTACGTTCTTGAGCTTGCGAAGGCTCTTGAAGAAGAGGACGGCGGGGACATTCTGGTAGTAGACGCCGAAGCTGAGGCCGTTCTCCTCGAGAGAATCAAAGATGGTCTTTTGGGGGAAGCCGTGGATGAGGTCCCTGCGGACGTTGCTGGAGGCGCCGTGGGGAGGTAGCGGAAGTGGAAGCGTAGAAGCGGTTGGGCTGGGTCGAGGCGGGAGCGGAGGCGAACGGCGAACGGTGCGTAAGAGCGGCGAACTCGTCGGCGGAGGGCGGCGTAAGACGGGACGGCGATCGGGCGGCGAAGCCGCTCAATGGACGGTCTGGGCCATGCGAGCGGCCATGCTGCTCAAGGCGCTGCTGGGCGAAGCCGTTCAGTGGGGCGGGATCCACATAGAGGAGGAGGAGGAGGGGGCCCTTGTTCCGTCGCTGTCGGCGGCGGGGCGCAGTGGGGCGTGCCGAATATCTGCTGCGGCGATGCCTGGATGGAGTGGCCTGGGTTCGGAATCGAGCGAAAGGAGCGGCATGGCGTCGGAGACGGAATACTTTGGGGAGGAAGGGTCGGCGGCGGAGAGGTGGTTGAACTCAACGAACCGGTGAGGCCGTCGATGTCAGGCGCGGTTGGATTTGGTGCTTGAGCCAGCGCCAGCATGTGATCGAAGGAGCGGGTTCTCCATCACGAACCACCAACGGGTTTTGATGGGCGCGCCTTGAATGCTCGTGGCTTGTGCTTCTTCTTCCTCCAGGGAATTCGAAGTCGAGACATGTTGGAGCGAGGGCAAGGTAGGTACAAGAAGAAGAGGGAGAAGAGGACGAAGACACCGGCCGGCGGTGACGCCTGGATGAGAGCCGTCCATCATCCCCCCACCACCAAATCCCCAACCGCCGAGGTGCGTTCTGGTGCGCCTGCGGTTTTCCCTTTCCGATCTCCAAGAAGTAGAGAGAGAGAGAGAGAGATCGATTCTGGCCGCTCGGTGCGGTTGCGGTGCGTAAAAAGATGAATAAGTTGGAAGGAGAAGACAGTATTGAGAGGGAGTGGGGCCCAATTTATTATCCCCACGCTTTGCTTAACTATTTTTAATTCTTTAATCTTTACTAAAGCATTTGGTTTTGTATTGTTTATTTATTTATTCCTACCTTTTTCCTTTCCAGCAACTCTTCTTTATTCTCTCTTTGGATCCTCCTCTCTGTTAAAAAAAAAATTTCAGAAACCACTATTTTTTAATAGCGACCGTTAATTAATAAGTGAGTGGTTGAGATTATATTTAAATTTAATACTCACCATAACTCACTCCTATTTGCACTTAAAGAAAAAAATTTAATTATCAAATGTTAATCAATAATAACTATGATAAAGTAGTAATCTCTTCACTATTTTTTTTTGATATTAAGGAGAATTTAAATCCTTTTTTGTTAGTTTACAGATTAAACATACTAAAACTTATTTCTTTCTTACAAAAACGAGGAACTTCATAAACAACATCTTGTGAATTGAATTTAGTCTTCAAGCTACTCAAGCCAATATATTATCAATTAGATAGTCGATGATATCCTAACATTTTTGGATAGATAATTTTTGACTACTACAGTTAGTGTTAGTGTGATGCAGTCAGAATCAGGTCCGGATTTGCTACATTCATAATCGTAGAGAAAGCCGGCCGTTGAGGTCCGGATTTGCTACATTCATAATTGTAGAGAAAGCCGGGCATTAACTATGTGGATTAACGCAATTGGTGTACCCCACCCCAGTAGGCCCCCACAATTAAATATTTTTTTAATATAATTTAAATAATTAATATCATTCATGTGGTTCACTAAAATGTAAAGACTTTGTTGGTGAATTGTATTACGATGGGATATTTATGTTTAGTTGGGTGGACAAAAGAGCGCCCACGCGAGTGAAATCAGAAATGTTGTTTCCCCAGAGCAGAGGGCTATTCGTTCATTAATTAATTAGGCTAAAAACTCCGTCCCTCTCACGAGAAGACTGACCGATGCTTGTGACCAATGTTTTGTATTCATTCACCTTCGTTGTTACTGATGCGTGTGTGTGGACTTTTGCGTGTGTAAATGAACACAGCATCGTGGCACTCCCAGTTACCAAATGGACTCGGTCTCTCTTGCCAACTGCCAACCGCCCAAGTCTATTTTCTCCTCTCCTCTGGTTTCCTGCGGAGGCAGGTGAGTCCGTATTTTACCTTTTGCGTGAACGTTATCTATTAGCATTGCGTAAGGCGTGGTAGTTTGATTATTGATTAGATGTTCAGATTACTTTGTTTAACTGTGAAATTATCTTGCAAATATTTCATTACTAACATGTGAACTATTATGTCACAGATTAACAAAGTGCCAAGCAAGGAGTAGGATTATTTCACCATAATTGTACATGATTATTCGATCACCATGATCGTGACGGCAAATGGATCTTATATAACTTTACAATCATGGTAATAACAAGATTTTGTCAATATTTTGTCTCTTCCGTGTTTGGCAAGCAGACAACAATGACATGGCCATGTACAAATTAAATTAAGTTTCCATAGTTAACAACTAATCTGATTTTGATGTTTGCACAAATAGGAGCGTATGCTGAGTCGCCAAAGGATAAACTGGAATTAAATTACGAATCCATCCCCACGCGTGATGTATGAACAACTAAATCTCGTATGGAAAGCAGCCAACTAGTGAGCAATTGATGCCGGCCAAAATACCATAGAAATAAACTACACCGCTTCTGATTAATCCCACACGGCAACAGCAGTGTAACATATGTGTATGTAGAGAAAGAAGGAAAAAAATTAGCCGTTGTAGTATATTGAAACCACTGGACGATGTTATACTAGCCTTTAATAGCACACACCAAGAAATCATTTTATATACAGAAAGATAAATTACAAGAATAATATCAGCAACCCGCAAAATTGAAGTTTCGTTAGCTTTCATAACACCCACCAAGGGGGAAATGAACAATGGACAATGCCAGCATATCCTTTTCAGTTACTTCAGTGGCCATTCTCATCCAAGGAAGTGCTTTCATCTTAGAAAGCAAAAGAACGGAAAGCCATGAGGATTTTTTTTTTTTTTTTTTTTTTTTTTTTTATTGTTTTTTTTTTTTTTTTTTTTTTTTTTTTGAATGTGTGGTTTCTGCCTGTTAAAGAACGAAGGAACAAAAAGTCTGCATCATTAGTGATGTAGGAGGGGGAACTGTAGTGTCCATACCACAACCAAGACAACCGGAGGTCAGTCTCCATCTTCAGAGTCCGTATGTGGGTTGAGTCATCAGTTAGCACGAAACACTTAAGAAGAGCACAGTTTAGATTAACCAACTCATGGAGTAAAACTAGAGCCTAGTCTTTTGTCTCCAGTATTGTTTTCTTTGTTTATTTGGAGAAGATAGAGGCGGTCACCTATCTATTACAATGAGTGGAAACTTGGGGATGCTTTCCTCTTTTCTATACTCTGCAGCACTAAGTTTTTGCTTGTTTTCACTGCACTGTGTACACACATGCCAAACTTGAGCAGAGTTACAGACCCCAAACGGACGATGGTTCCAAGAATTGGTAGGGGTAAAAGTTACATCTGTTAGGAATTTACGTCGAAACCCTTAAACAGCAGAAACACGGTATAGAAAAAATACATCAAAATTTAACGAGGTTCGGCAACTGCCTACATCTTCGGGAGCCACATAGTAAATTTCTTATTAATCAAACAAGAAGTTACAAACTTAGAGCAGATCTCAAACGTGATATCTCTCAATAAATGCTATTTATCACTGTAGCTACAGTAATAAAATCCCCTTCTAAAATACCAATTCCCTCTCTCTTAAATTTTTCTCTTTTATTTAATTCTCTTCCTCAAAATCTCGTGAGCTGAATGAGAAAAAGAGAGAGATCGCGAGAAAGAAGAGAGTCGCCGCCAGAAGGGAAAACGCGAGAGAGAGCAAGGGAGAGTGAAGCAACAGCAGGGGATAGGGTTTTGGGTTCCCTTTTATAGGGGAACCCAAACGCCAGGCCACACCAGAGCTCGACTTCGCCTGCGGGCGAGAGTGCTCGAGCTCGCCTGTGCGATTCTCGCCTACATCGACCTCGCCTGCAAAGAGCCGCTCGACCCCGCCTGATTTTGACCATGAGATCCGCCTGCATCTGGACTTCGCCTGCTCGCAAGCTCGCCTGCTGCAACTTTGAGCTCGCCTAACCTCGTCGAGCTCGTCTGCAGCTCTCATCTGCCCCAACCTCGCCTGAAGGTCCCGACGAGCTCGCCTGCTCTTCGACTTCGCCTGCATCAAGGTTTGGATCCACACCCAAACTAACAACATCAACACTTCTTAGCAGCAGAAAAGAGAAGACTGCAGTGCTGAATACTATGGTCGATTGAGAACGCAAATATAACCACAGAGACTCCTAAATCAGTGGCGGGAAAAGGAACAAACTGCTTCTAATAAGGGAAACATATAAAACCACTTTTTTTTTAATTCAGAGGTTTACCTGAGATGAGCTGCAATCATTGACTACGTCAGATGCAAGGTAAGTGTCCTCAACCTATCCCTTAACCACCTCGTGGAAATACTGAAGCACTCATTGAAACAGGAACCGGCGCCAAACCAGGAACCAGTATTGTATCTCCCTTATTGCTGGAAAGCTTCTTCTCGTTATCCAAGCTCAGTGGAATCTTCTCATCTGCCATTTCATTTTGAGCGCCAATGAAAGCCCTATTAGACTCGTGGCTCGCAGGGCTACAGTTGATACATCCTTTCCTTTAGCTAACATTGTGACTAAACAAAGTGCCCATCTTATTCATAAATGAAATGTATGTTGATTTAAATTTCTGAAAGCATTTGGAAATGGTTTGCCTGGAGCAAGATAACCAACAGATTCTTTTATCCTGAATGAGATAAGTTGATCTTCAGAACAATCACCTATAACTTCAGGAAGAGACCTTGACAGACCAAAGTCTCCCACACGAGCAATCATATCATTGTCAAGGAGAACATTGCTGGGTTTGAGATAGCAATGAACAATACATCTGTAGCAGTGATGATGTAAGTACTCCAAGGTCGAGGCTACATCCATGGCAATGTTTAGCCTCTCCGCAAATGTCAATCTCTTCATTTGGGGGCATCTATCTGCTTCAACTGGATGGAGCCAAGTGTCCAGATTGCCATTAGGCATATATTCATACACCATCGCCTTGAAGTACTTACAATCTTTTGATTAAGAAAGCGTCCTTCAATGGATCAAAGTGAAGCTTAGCCAGAGAAATGGTTATGAGAGAGATCAAGTTCCTGAACGCCAGATAATGTACTCAAGGACAAAGGGATTGTTCCTTCAAACAAATTCCCACCTAACATTAGGCTTTCTAAACCAATACATTTGCTGAGTACAACTAGTATTTTCCCTGATAACTTGTTTTTTGACAAGTCTAGTTTCCCGAGGCTTTGCAAGTTTTGAACTTCATCAGGTCAAGAACCAATTAGATAAGTCCGGGAGAAGTTGAGAGAAATTGGCAAAGAGGATATTCTCATAATACCAGCAGGTATTGCACCATTTAGCCTGTTGTTGGAAAGACCTAATTGCTGTAAATTCTCGCAGCTGCTAAGGCTAGGAGGTATAGCTCCACTGAAATCATTACTCAGCAAGATTTAGAATTTCAATTGTGTCAAATTGCCAAGAGATGATGGAATTTGCCCAAAGAAATAATTTTGATACAGAAACAACTCCTGCAGCAAGTGAAGCCTTCATAACCCCATCGGGACCCAACCAGTGAAGAAGTTATCCTCCAAATTTAGTAATGATAAATTGACATATCGCTCAATCCCTGCAGGAAATCTCCCAGCCAGCTGATTTGAGCCTAGAGAGAGGATATTGAGCTGTAAAGAAAGATTGGCTATGGAATCTGGCAACAGACCATGGAATCTATTGCTATTAATAGCAAACACCTTGAGGCTAGTACAATTAGTTAAAGACGTGATAAAAGTCAGACCATCATTTTCTCCGGTGTGAAGTAGGTTATCACCAAAATTTAATCTTACCATGTTTTGAAGAGAACCAAAAGTAATAGGCACAGGCCTACTAAGCTCATTACTAGCAAAATCAAGTATTTTCGGTCCAGAAGCATTGGACAATGATGCAGAAATTGGGCCAGTAAAATGATTTAAACCCCCAGCAAATTGTTTAAGCTGAGGAAAAGTATTACCTACTTCTCCAGGGAGGCTTCCCTCGAGTTGGTTTTGAGAAAACAATAAATAACTGAGAGATGAAATGTTGAGGAGTTCAGAAGGAATGGTACCAGTTATATGATTTCCACAGAAATTTAACCCCTGTAAGCTTGGAATTCGACCGACTTCACCAGGAAAGCTACCTTCTAGACCATTCAAAGCAATTGAGCGAGTAACTAGATATGAAGGGTTCCCGGGAGAAGGTGGGATGATGCCACCAAGATTGTTGGAGTAAAGATCCAGCAGTTGAAGCTTTGAGAGAAACTAGGCTCAGATGGAATAGTACCTATGAACTCATTAAAACAGATATTAAGGAAATTAAGGTCCTTGCAATTGCTCAGACTGATTGGAATTTCTCCAATATTATAGTTGTCATGCAAATCAATATGCTGCGGATAAACCAAACGGCCAATGTTCTGAGGGAGTGGCCCTTGCAACATGTTGTGTGATAGATCCAATTCAATCAAAGCTGTAAGGTTTGTTATGTGAGCAGAGATGAAGCCTGACAGAGGGAGCTGGGATTCAGAACCTTGACTCTTTGACGCTGATGATCACATGCAACACCATTCCAATCACAGAAGTAGATGGTGCTGTTCCAAGATCTTAATCCTCCTATAGGATCTTTATTGATCCCATTTTTGAAGTAACCTAGAGCCAGACGGTCCATCTCATTTCCTGATATGGTAGTTGTAGCCTCCGTCATCACAAAGTACATGCACAAGCACGACATGACAAAGGCGACAAAGGCAGGGGATTGGTAGACACTCAATGGACGTGTCATGGCGATTCCGGTATTGCCTGCTAGGCTGCTATACATAAGCTAAACAACTAATATCTATCCAGAACCTATCACTCTCCGTCTTTGGCTTATGCACACCCAGTCAATGACAAGCTAAGAGAATGAGAGGTACATAATGCATTGAATATGGATGAGGCCGGGAAAATTCAAGAATTTCAATGCGAATAAGGGAGTTGGAGAAAGACATGCCAATTAATGAGATGGAGACACTAAGATGGGATGGGGAATGGAGGTAATAAATGAGACGACCTTGAGAGTTTGGCATTAGTTTGGATTTCAGTACAATGTGATTGTGAATGATGAACAACTTAGTAGTTCATAGGTTCACCACAAGGTGCCTCAGCCACAGTCAGAAAATGTAATATCAGTGCACCATTAGAAGCTACTTTCTAAACCCAACAGAAACCAAATAACTAAATAAATAATGTTAAAATGCACACACCCACATTATTTCAAGCATGGGGATCTAATCAAGTGGAATTGCATAGTACGTCGATATTGCTTGACAAAGACTATTGCTTGACAAAGACTATATTTAATCTTAACTTTCAAGTACTAAAAGGTAGATCCCTGGAGTTATACTTGGAAAATTTTAGGAATAAAAGAAATCAATCAGTAGAAAAGCTCATCATTGAACTCTGGCTTATTCCAAATAATAATCAAAAGAATCATGACTAGATAGTAAACAAATTTAGCCAGACAAACCTATTATTAAAGTTGAAAACTGTTCTGTTCTCGATTCATAATTAATATCTAATCAACTAGATAGAGAAAACAAATGAGTATTGAGTAGAGCGGTTGGGTGAATTGCTCTGTTTATCATACCATGTTTCATTACCTCTATCTCAATAAAATTTTTTTGCCATTATAGTTTCAACCAATAAATTAGGGCTAGCTAATTCTTGTTGTTATTAATTATTTCAGATCTCGGTATAACCCCATAACTGACAGTATGAGGAGGGTAAATATTAGATCAAATATAAGATTAAGCAAGGGATTGAAACTCCAGTTTGATCTTTAGTTTAAGAATAATGCAATTTTCCAAAGAAAATCTTATCATACTTTCTCTATGTAGATGTTTTCCGGTCAATGAGAATTTAAAAGGCACATTAGCCGCAGAAGCTTAAATTCCATAACCAATAAGGGACCCTAGGGTGGACTTTCTGGAGCTATTGGAGTCCCTTTAGGTACAGTCTGCTTTAGATAGGAATTCTGGTAGTAATAATAATAATAATAAGACACCCGTTGCAAGAATTTGGACAGTTATTTCATGGAGCTTCTATATTTTCAGTATTGTTCTATAGCCAACCTCATTTCCATGGGAACAACATGGATTGTAATGATGAATGTGGTACTATAAGAAATAAATTATATTAAAAAAAATTTATGGTCCTTCAGATTTCTCCATAAAATACTTAGACTGCAAGCCAAGAAATATCATATACCATCATACAAAATGATACTTCTGAAGAAACGGAGAAGAGGCTATGTGTTCTCCCTACATTTTACAATCCTATGAACATTAGCATGGAATTCCAAAACTATTACTCTTCTCAAAGCAAGAAGTATATACCCTAAATGAAGCTGTAGTAAACAAAACTACTACTAAGGTTTACAGACATATGGGTGTTGATCCATCTTGCTCCCATCAACCAATCATTTGTCTGTTGTCACCTAGCGTATGGGTAAAGCGCTAAAGGGGGCAATGGACACCAAGAATTACAATTGGACACCGAAAAATATACGACTTTATGTTGAGACAACACATGTACAAACTAGCAGTAAGGAAGTGATAGTTTAGGAGTATACTGGTAATGAAAAACTGAAGCCAACCCACGAGTACTGGTTGACGCATGAAAGGAATTAAAAATAGAAAGATAAGAGCATCCACAAAAGAAAGCAAGCCTAAAGAAACCGAGTAAAGTAGTGCATGGTATTACAATTAATAACAGCAACAAAAATAACAGTTGATCTGAAGAGAGTAGCAGGTAGCTAGTGACAGACAGACAGAGAGTCTGAATGAAATGATTCACAAAACACTTGGATTACATAATGACGCGTAGGAGTTTAAGAGGCAGATCAAACATTTGAATACCCAGAGCAGAAAGCAGCAGAAGCAGGAGGCTAAGAGAAGAGGGATTCATCAATGTCGATCTTGACAATCTCCCCGTCGTCAAACTTGTCCTTCTTTGGAGGGGAGGGAGGCATAGGAGCCCTTGGAGGACCTCTTCCTCTCTTCTTGTTACGGGGCCGGCACTAATTAACACCAAGAAGATGAAGAAGAAATAAATAGTATATACACACACACACACACAAGGGAATGCATGACAAGAAAAGAAATAAAATTAAAAAAAAAAAACTAAAATGAAAAGGGGGGTTGCCTACGTTTCCAAAGGAATGCCTGAAGCGCTTGCCCTTAGCGGTCTTCTTATCACCTCTGCCACAGTACACTGCTCGTTGTTGTGCTTTGTTTGTTAATATTCAAATAAACCCACCAACACAAGAGTAAAACACTTGTAACAGTTAAAAGTTGGGAATTTTTTAAGAAACCTGGGATTAACTTCTCAGTCGATCCTATCATTAGTTGTATGGGGTGGCTGGGTGGGTGGGGGGCAAAAAAAATAAAGTAATGTGGTTTAGTAATCGTTACCTCCTAAAGAGGAGGAGGGAAGGGCGTCCTGTAGAGAGGCAACGGAGAGGGAGGTGGCAGCGAGGGAGAGGGAGGATTCGTCCGCTGATACGGATTGAGTTCGAGAGAAGGAGAGCCGAGAGAAATGTGCAGGCGTTGAAGAAGAAGAAGAAGACGAAGCTGCGAGCGAAATAGCTCCTCCTACCGCTCCGATTGCGAGCAGAGCCATGACCGATGATCAACTCAAAAACACGGAGCGAGGTGGGGAGAGGCCGAGCGGAGATAGAGAGGGGATAAGACCCGGAAAAGGATGGGGGATAAAATAAGCCCCGGCTCCAACCTGGGCCTATCCCAGGCTCAGCCTTCCATCTAGGGCGGGCCTAGCCCAATAAGCTATCACCGGGAACAGAGCGATGAGTTATTTTGTTTGGACAAATTTTCAAAACCAACCTATTTACAAATTTAATCACAGAAAACAACCCACTTCAGATTTAATTGCAAAAACCGACCTGGTTTCAGCCTTGGCGCTGAAACCAGGTCGGTTTTTGTGAAAAAACTTTCGAAACTTCACGGGAGTTGAACTCCCGTGAAGTTTCCCAGTACAAAAAAAAAAATTTGAACTACGAAACTTCACGGGAGTTCAACTCCCGTGAAGTTTCGAAAGTTTTTTCACAAAAACCGACCTGGTTTCAGCGCCAAGGCTGAAACCAGGTCGGTTTTTGCAATTAAATCTGAAGTGGGTTGTTTTCTGTGATTAAATTTGTAAATAGGTTGGTTTTGAAAATTTGTCCTTAAGGACAATTGTAGTCCTTTTCCATGCTTTATTGCTTAAAAACTTTTGACTTTTAAATCTGTTCCTCTTGTCTACATTAGCACTTAATTTATTGATTTCAGCTCCAGTGCTGAAACCAGGTCGGTTTTTGCAATTAAATCTGAAATAGGTTGTTTTCTGCTATTAAATTTGTAAATAGGTTGGTTTTGAAAATTTGTCCTATTTTGTTTTACTCAAAGGGGCCCAAACAATCATATGGGAGCCCAAATTAAATTCATCGAGCGGTGAAAGCAACTTCGGCAAAATTTTCAGAGTGAGCCCTTCCTCCATCTTTTCCGTTAAAAACATTCTCATCATCGATGCTCTTCCCTTCACCATCCTCCGTCTTCTTTTTTCCTTTCGGATCGAAACCCCAATTCGTCATCACCTATCCAATCCGCCGCGGCCTCTCTTTCGCGCTTTCCTCATCGTGCAATCAAAACAATAAACTGTAGCACTTCACCCTTCGCTCTTCCTCTGGGCTATCTCCTCTCCTCGTCCCGCCGCCGCCCGCGCCGGCCGCGCATCCTCGCGGCAGCACCATCTTTTCGCTTCCACTATCTGTTCTTCTTCACTACACTTCTTCTCAAGGTTTCGCGGTTGCCGTCTCGATCTGCTCCAGCGGCCACCGCCACCCACTTCATCAGCTCCTCCTTTGTTTGCTAATTAAGCTCGGTGATATACACCACCTCATCGTCTCCAGTGTTGAGTTCTGGTGCACAGCTTCATCATGGCTCGTGTCAGCACCTATACTACTTCATCAGTCATGGGCATCAGGTGATAACAAACAACATAGTTGAACTCTTTTGCTGCCCCAACATCTAAATTTGACCACAGTTTAGTGTCGAGTATCTGTTCTACTGCATGCTATGGAACTCCGGTCATGCGTGCAGACGCCAAAAGCCTATCAGTTTTGATTTACTCCCTCCAACCATGCTATTGTTCCTCTCGATGTTAGTACTTTGTAGCTAGTTGTTTGAGTTTACAAAGCTCTTCCACCGATTCAAACTCTATCAGGTACACAACTTTGACATGCTGCAAATGCGCGCTTATCTTTGCCAGATATTCAGTTTTTAATCATGATATATGCTTATCACTGTACTATGGGAAAAGATAAGTGTTTCCATGGATCCATCTATCTTAATGAAGACAGCGTAACCATTCGAAACGTGTAATCGTGTTAGAAGTGCCGTTTCAAACATGTCTTTAGGATGCTAAGAAGGTGATCTGTGTGACCATAGCGTGCTTTAGCAGGATCTTGCTGACTTTACAATGAGGTTTGAATAATACATTACTAGAAAGCAGTTGGTGTGATGAACATTGCAGTTACTTCTTTTTATCGATGGGAATAGATTTCATGAAAAACTTAGCTTAAACCAAGTTATCAAGAAAAGTAAAATGCAATCATTTAGCCAAGTCCAGTATTTTAAAAGCAAAAGGCAAGGTCAAGGTGATGAGGTCCTGTGTTGCTTGAGGTGAAAGGCGATTGGCTGAGTGAATCATGGCGATAAATATTTTAAATATTCATAAACATTACAAACAATAGGTATTTCCCCCCTAGAAACCACCTAAAAATGGGATAATTATACAAAAACCACATTTCATTTTCAATTTATACGCCAACCACCTTTAAAGTAGTCTGTTGTTGCAATAATCAATCACCTCCTGGTCAATTTTTTGTCAAAAACACCAAAAATAAGCTTAGAAATTTCAAGTTTAAGGTACATGAATTGTACCCTAACAAGACCCAAACACTAAAAAAATAATCCACGTCCCTAAATGTGAGTTTTTTAAGGGTAGTCTTAGGGTTTTAGTGAAAAATATGACTTGAAGGTGGTTGATTGCAAAAAAAAAAAATCCACTTCAAAGGTGGTTTATGTGTAAATTGAAAATGAAAGGTAGTTTCCATATAACTAATGTATTTTTAAGGTGGTTTATGCAAAAAAACCCTAAATAATATGCAAATATCAGTAAATTGCAACAAGACAAATTAATCATAGCCAAAATTTTAAAGTCACAAATCTAACAAGTCATAAACCATCTAAATTGAGTAGTAAGTAACAAATATTGAATATTGATATTAACTAGTAACTGCTAACACAAATAATTAAGTAACAAACTTTAAGATTCAACTTATGGCATGTCCTCAAAATAATATAGGTATTTTACAACGGAAAATAGCAAAAATCAACTAGGGAAGAAGGATCATAAAATTCAATAACAAAAAAAAAATCACTTTATCGGACATCTTTCACACCATCAAAACTTTGAAACAGAGAAACACCTCACCCATTGCACCACATGCCTTAGGCGAGTGCCTGGGGCGTCAAGGCGAGGACAGGCGTCAAGGCGAGGACATGGGGCGTCAAGGCGAGGACATGGGGCACCAAAAGGCGCTCGCCTTAATAACCTTCATTGCCTGGCAATACACAAGGTGATAAGTTACAAGATTGCCTCGCATGAGCGCCTAAAGCGCTAAGACGTATCACCTTTAAAACAGTAGCCAAGTTATATAATTATTGTTTAATGAAGTAGAAAATAGGTTGTGATATGAAGTGAACAAGACTCGGCTTGAAAAGCTTTAGGTTTTGTGATTCCTTGTCTTCACCTTTTCATTAAACTGAAGTCCTCTTACTATTCTTGTTTTGGTTTAGAGCACTCACAAATTACTCATTCTATAAAGATGATTTGATGTTTTTATCTAATATAATATTGTTTCATATGCCTATATGTTATTAAGGGTCAAGAGTTATGCATCACCTGAATGCATTTTTTTATCAAGCCGTGAAACGTTGGAAGCACACACATGTTACAGATGCTGTATGATTACATGCACCATGTTACAAGAAACTAGGGCATGGGTAGGGCAGAATATGACATAAATTATTTATGAACACAATCATATATGGATGTAAGCTCATACATATGCAGATATGACATATATGGTTACACAGATAAATCCAATACTAAAATTTTAGGTTACTTATACGTTGTGGATACATCAATAAAATTATACTCTGTATGCTTAAATTTTTTTTATTATTAAGAACCTGGAGAAATCATATAACTGGAATGCATTTTCAAACCAATTACACTTGTGAAGCCTATGGGTGTGTTTGGGAACTAAGAAGCTAACCTAGTTTTTTGTTAAATCCAATTACACGTAGGCTTGATTAGGCTAAAATAGTTTCTATGTTGACTAGTTTTGAGTTGAACCTAGTTTGGTTTTATTTCTAGCTAAACTAGTTTCTATGTGCACATGGCCTTTCTTCTCCTTCTCACTAGATTTTTTAGGGCCCAACCTATGGGGTTCTATTTCAGACCAGGAGGCATGGTTTATTTCTGGCGCAGTTAGTAGGCAAAAATGGTTTTGTCAACCTTTATCATTTGCCAAACTAGGGCTAAACACTTTGGCCAAAATTGTTTGATCTACAACCAGTTTTAGCCATTTGCCAAACAGGCCCCATCATTCAATATTCAAATTATTGACTTGTTAATGTGTTTTCCCCATCTATTATACGTGTTTGATACATCTAGAACATGCTGCAACTTTTAAGCTACATCAAAATGGATAGCGACTCATATCCATCAAGTATCAGGACACTGCTCAACAGATACATATTCGATAGGAGTACATCTCCTCCTTTGAAGTGCCAATGCTACACAATTCTCAGGTGAATGGACTATGGATATGCAATGTTCTTTGCTATAATTATTTTGACTTAGTTCTTCTTCAAATTCTGAATTAAGATGTTTCAAGACCTTTCCAACAATCAACAGTCAGTAATGTTGCTCTTGTAAATAATTTACCTTACTGCATGAGCTACTAAAAGCTTAAAAATTTGTGTTTGCTTTGAGGCTAACTGTATCTTCTACTCAAATCTTTAGAAGTTCATGGATAGTTTTGCTGTATAACTGCTTGGAAATCCATGCGTTAGATTTAATGTTTTTTGCTATATTTGGTTTATCTGTTTTGATGAAATCTGCTTCCATAGCCACTTTAAGTATATAGCTTTAACTAAGAATTCCTGATAGTGTGGTCTCCTTGTGACATGATACTCAGAAGTAAGTGCCAAATAGTGTACGCATAAACTACTAAGAGATGGGACTTTGTGACTCATTAATCTGGAGATTTTTTTTTTAATTTATTCTAATTGGCTTTTTTTGGCTTCTGAGGAAGTGACTTCTTAGTTTTTCTTCTTACCTGTTCTGTTGCCATTTATTACTTTTCCTTCCTCAGTTATCTCCAACATTCCTTCTCCCGTTCAAGCATATCCCTTCCTTTTACTTCTGCCTGTCCCACTCTTCCGACTATTCTCCGCCTCCTTTCTTTATCAGTTGTGGATACCAGTCATACTCTTCTTCTTATTGTTAATCTTTTGAACGTCCTGGGTTAAAGTTCAGAACAATTGATGCATGCTGAGAAAATCTTGATGTCCTTTACTCGCTTTTCATCTTTCCTTCTCTTCTTTCCTTCCTTTTTATGAAAGAGAAGAATGAATATCACAAAAACTTCAAATTTCACAACTACGTGTAGAACAACTGTGTCTGTAAGTTTAAACGGGTCGTTTCATTATTGGATTGATTTAGACTAGTTATCTGAACCTGATAAGAAAATGGCATGCATGAACTGGAATCCTTATCTGATAATTACTACCCAATTATCACCCGATACAAAGTTGGGTTTGGTACTTTCTTTATTTTTGACAAGAGAAGTCAAAATAGTTGAAATATTAAAGAGAAGATGATCATGATCATCAAGTTATTTAATTTAAGATAACCAATAAAAACTATTTATTTTCATATCAACTTGTAAGACCTATTTCATGTGCGCTGCCCATCGTTGCTCTCCCTAAGGATGTTTTTTCCTAAGTTTTAAATAAAGACTCTTGGATTTATGGGTAAAGAGGGGTTTTCAGGAAATTATCTCCTTATATTATGTACAGTATGAGACTGAGTTCGAGTTTTTCAGATTCAAGATAACGCATATTTGAAGCCTTCCCTAAAATACAATCAGGTTTTTTAAATTAGCACTGAATCTGACATGCAAGCTATTCACAAGGAAGCACCCTTTCTTTGCGCATATACATCACTATACTAGCAATGCATCATCTAGTGTGGATTTGGGTAAATTGTTCCAACCATGGTCTTAAACTTGAGAATAAGATGATGGTAATTGAAGTTGATCACTGTTAGTCATTATAATCATTATCTATGTCGAGAAATGGATTCCAGGATGTGACTTTCTGTAATTGAAGTTTTAAGGACAGTACTTAGTTCTACGTTTTACTTTACAGATTTAATTAGTCTGGTTGTTTTTCTTCGATCTATCTCATTTCGGTAACTAGTCATGCGTTCTGCAAATAGGAATCTCACCCAACCCGCTTATAATCGGTTAGAGACCTTTTAAACCACAAAGACAAGGCCCATTCTTCCGTTATTTGGAAATCTGTGGCTAATTTGGAATTGTTGTTTTAGTCCATAGGGTGCCCTCTTCCTGCAGCACATTTGTTTATACGAGTTTTGTGATTACATGCTTTCAACGAAAAGCTGGGAATTTTCTTTTGTTAGGCACTATTAATTGCTTCATGTAATTGGCCTGTGATGATACTGCCCGAAATCTTAATATGCAAGTGTTAGGCATTCTCTTTATATCACTCAAATCATACCTAATTTAGCTTCTCTGTGTTTTTTTAAATTATATTTTCAAGTACGAACAGGCTACGTT